GGGGGGGGCGCAATCGACAGTTCGACATATAACACATTGCAAATAGCCTTACTTTCGGAGCTGTTCTAGTGTCTGGTCTATGGGCAGACCGGGGCCAGTTTTGCTTCCCCCGTTGTTGTCTCCTTGCTGCATCAGGCTTTTCTGGTGGCCCTGACTGTGTCCTGGATACACGCCAAAGCTGGAGTCCTCCAACTGTCCGGCTCTGCGGCCGGCATTGATCGGGATCATGAAGAGCTGGAAGATTGCATCCAGGGCATTGACGACGCCAAGGAGACCGTAGGTCAAGGACACAGCTAGGACCTTGAAAGGCCAGGCCACCACGCGGGACAAGAAGGAGGAAGAAGAAGATGGAGAAGTAGGAGGGGGTGTCGAGGGGGAAGGACGACGATGACTCTCCTCAGATTGCGAAGAAGGAGTGGTGTTGGAGTCCCACCACCTGCCCCAATAGGAAGGCATGTCGCGACGGGGGAGAGATGAGGCTAGACCCAGGGGTATGAGAAAAACATTTTTGACACTAACGCAGAAGGACGGCACAGGGCAGGGCAAGGCGCGCTGCAGTGCACATGGGCAACACATGCCTATGAAGAGCATGAAGAGGACGCAGATGGAAATGACGTGCCATTCAATGAGCGTTTCCAAAGTCAAGATCATACTTGATCCAACCTCCAAACTTTTCTCCAACTTCTGGTGAATGTCGTCCGACTTTTTCTCGTGGGTCGGTGGTCCCTCCGCATGCGACTTGGTGCCGATTGTTTGGTGGCTGGACACGTCTCTTGTGCGAACATTATTGTTGTTGGAGTTCTCCATAAGCGCTTCCGTGTTCACAGATCGTCTAGGAACTCTGTATTTGTACTGCCCTTTTCTGGAGGCTTTGTCTAAGTGGGTGTTGCTGTTAGAGTTACTTTTTATAGAGTCATTCCCGTGAGCTGTTTTTACTTTTCCTCGACCATTTTCCAGTTTGCCTTCTTCCTTTTCACCGGTGGTCGTTTTTGTCTGTAGATTTCGATGATCCAGGACTTTCCGTGACGTGTTGTAAGGTCTGGCTCGTGGCACACCACGTTCTGGTTTGATGGACGTTATTTTATGTAGATCGCTGGCACGAGACTTGTCGGTTTCTTCCACCATCTGGTTCAGGCTCTGCTCTTCGGGGACGTTTTGCTTTTGATCAGCTAAAGCTTTCAGTTCTCGAGCACGAAGTCTCTCTTGTCTGAGCTCGTCCGCTCGCACTTGCCACATCTCTCTTTTGGGACTTGTATCTTCATTTGATGTAGGCTTGGCTTCATGTGACTCTGCGTCGACACTGGACCCTTTAGCAGACGATATGGGCTCACTCGGTTTGTACTTCTGACTTCGTGAATGAAAACCGTCATGTGTTTTTCGCCTGTCTCTAAGTTGATGATGTCGTGCAGTGGCATCTTTCTTCTCAAGATTAATAGTTAAGTTTCTGGTAGGCGATTTTCTTCCACCCGATTTGGGGAGCTGGGTATCCGAATCAACACCAGATCCTCGTTTCCTTTTATCATCACTTGCTGTTTTGGAAACTGCTTTTTGGTCAGTCTCAGACCTCTTGAATAAGAACCTCGAGAAAGGATTCAAACCAGCAATACTTGACAAAAGTGAGGAACCTTGACTAGGTTCTAGAATAGGGATCTCCTCGTTCTCTTTCTTCTTCGGTTGCATGTAAAATGATTGGACTGCCGTGGACTGTGGGGTTGTGGACGTGTCGTTGGTGTTCTGTGAGTTTTGGGCGGAAGCTGACCCAGCGAGCAAGACCTCTGCCCGATCAGCGTTTGAGCGGATCCGGAAGGACATCATCGGGGACGGTTTCCGAGGTTCAGGTTCCGGTTCGGTTTTAGAATCCTCGGTTTTGTCCTCAGGTTCACTGCTCACTGACGGAATATCTTTGTTCTGGTTTAAATCTATTGTCTGGCGCCTGTTGGCCCACGAAAACCTTCTTTGCTGGTTGTTGTCTGCCGCAATGACTTTCCCGACGTTCTGAGCAGATGTTTTGTGAACTGGTGGTGGTTCAGAGGATGAGTTCATGATTTTTGTGCCTTCTGCTGAAGGATCAAAACCGTGGTCCCCTCTAATTTTTTGCAGTTTTCCATTCTTGTCCACTTTCCACCTGCTCTGAGTTTTCCTGACGGTTCCACTTTCAGTGACTCTTGGTTTTACAGGTGCTGCTTCTTTATCGGGTTTGCTTTCGTCCAGACTCATGAACAGGTGATAAAACGGCCGGTCAGCGCGGCTGTGGATGCTCTCGTCGCCGTATTTTTTGGAGAAATCTTCCGTCTTTTCCCATACAGAATTGCAGGTTTGACTGTGTGCTACTCCAGACAAATGGGTTACCAATCCCTTAGAGGACTCTTTGCGAGAGATACTGCTCTTGGTTTCTCGAGGAGTCTGAAACATCTTGTCTCGAAGTTTGCTGTCTGATGAAGCCTTAGTGGCTTTACCGTTGGGGCCATGACTTCCGAGTGTCTTTTTCACCGCTTGTTTTCCTTGCGTTTTTCCAGCCATGGCTGTAGAGGGTCTGATGTGAGTTCTTAACGCCATTGTTGCTTTTGCGCGTGAGGAAATATCTGCCATGTAGGTGCGAGGGAGCTTGGGGGAGATGTGCTCTTCTTCCGTGTTTTCTTCCGTCTCCTCTGCCATATCGGGGACTTTGGGTTTGTTGAATCTGGTCAAAGACTCGCCTCGCATAGGCCGCCTGTGACTGGGACTAGGAGACGGAGGAGATTTGAGATGCCGTTTCATTTCCTCTCTGTTAGACTTTTTCGCCGTGACTTTACCCTTGCTTCTTGAGGCTTTAACCTTGAGGGAGTTGTCATTAGTGGTTGCGGTGGCAGGGGCAGATTCTGTCTTCACGGTTGTGCTAGATTTGCTCGTGTCACCTTTTCCCCTCTGCCCTTCGTTCGTTTTGCTAGAAGTGGGAGACTTCCGTTTCTGCAATATGCCGGTCTTAGTTGGCGGTGGCGACTTTGTCCCCTGCATCAAGTTTGACTTACTTAAGGATAAAGATCTCTTCGCCTGCAACAAGTCATCCTTGTCTGACATCGCCGGTGCAAGCACAGACGATATGCTAGTTTTATTTGGTGAGGGAGATTTCTGCTTAGCTGACAGAATTGTTTTGCTTGAAGATTTCTGTTTGCTTGCATTTTTTGTCTTACTAGGGGAAGGAGACCTCCGCTTCTTCGCCAAGTTTGATCTGATGAGCGATGATGACCTCTCTGTGTTTGACAGATCTGATTTGCTAGACAACAGAGATTTACGTGTGAGGGACCGATCTGTATTGCTTGACAGTAAAGATTTACTCTCGGATGACAAACTAGGTTCACTTGGCGAAGGAGTCTTTCGTTTGGAAGTATCATTGGCTTTGTTTGGCGATGGAGATCTGCGCCTGTGTGACAGTCGCGGTCTGCTTGTGGAAGGAGATTTTCTCCTTTGTAACTTGTTCATCTTGCCTTTACTTCTTTTACCATCTTTCCCGGTGGAACTGGTAATATAATTGTTATCAATGGACTTAAATACGTATCCCCCACCTTTGATTGACTTTTTTAGTTCATGTGTTGACGATTTGTTGGATTCTGGCTCCGCACGTTTTCTCAATTGCTCGGCAACAAGTGAAGCTTCCTGCTGCTTTTTAACCTCCATGTCCACTTCCTTTTCCGATGTTGGAGGTGGGAAAGAAGGGCGAAGGTCACGTTTACCTTCTTTCCATCGGTTGCTACTGGACTTTCGAGGATATTTGTTCTCTCTTTCAGAGACGGGGCTTGCGCTGGAGTGTTTCTGTCCTCGCCGATGCGTGTAATTTGATGAAGGCGAAGAAGATTTCCTCAGCCAGTTGTACAGTTGACGTTTAAAACCTTTTGAGTCAGAGGAGATGGGACCATATTTCTTTTCTACAAGTTCTCTCTTCGCTTTCGGGCTCAGTTGCCACGAGGGTCTGTTCGTCTCATTAGTCGCACGTTTCGGAGAGCGGGGCCGAGTCTGCTTGTTGGTTTCAATTTTTTTATAGATTTTCGGAACCATCATAGCTGTGCCTACATCTTTCTCGATAACCTCCGGGATACCTTCGGGTGCGGTTCGCTCCAAAATGCCAGACCGACGTGTCGATGAGTTTTTTTGCACTCCAGGCGTTTTCTCTCGAGACGTTTGGTCATGCTGAACCTGAGACTGGTTGTCTTCCTTTACGTTCTCTGCTTTTTTCTTAACTTGCTTTTCCTGATCAATGTCCGATAAGCGCTCTTTCATAAGATGCTCAGACAAACCCTCTTCCTCCGCAGTTTCAGGTGCCATACCTACTGATGAGTGCGATCTCGTAATCTCAGACTCACTGTCTTTGCTAGTAGTTGTAGTCTGGCGTATTTCATCTGCAAGCTGTTTGTCTTCTTGTTTCAAAGGAATATCTTCCTTAGCCATTTTTGATATTTTTTCAGTCTTGCTTTCTGGATGCGTCTTTTCCAAAGACTGTTTCGTCAGATTCTGTGATGGATCCTCGTCCGGTGCAATTTCTATTATTCCCTCAGATATGCTTGCCGGGGGTAGTTCTTCAGATGGCTGATTCACCAAGCCGTCTAATGTAACATTTTCCTCGACTTTCTTTGAGACCTCCTCGACGTTGCTTTCTTTTCGTTCCTCTTCTAATAGCCCTTCCTCTTCCAGAGATTTGCCTGTTTCTTTTTTGTTTTCCTTCGTTCTACGACGACCGTCACCATGTACTTTGTCTTTCTCTTGGTTGCTGGGTACAGAGTCACTTCCTTTTTCAGAATGCCCCTTTTTTTTCGACATATCTCGAGGTAACAACCAATTCAAAAACTTTGTAGCAGGGTCTTCTCTTTTACTTTTCACTTTAGTTTCATTGTTCGATAATGACGTGGTATTTTCTTTCAATACAGTAGCCTCCTCGTCAAGGGTATTTGCTATTTCAATTTTGGGATCAGTTTCAAATTTTTCAACTTCAGAAACCTGTTCAACTTCAGAAACCGTTTCAACCGTTGGATCAATCGGTTTGACACTGGTGATATCCACAGATTTTCCTTGGTACATGTGTCCGTTGATCTGACTCTGTGAATCTTCCTCCTCCTCTTCCTCTTCGTCATCCACTTCGTCGTCATCATCATCCTCATCATCTACACAGTTTTCCTGCTCTTCCGTCTTTGCAGTAACCACACTACATGTGTTTGCTATTAGAGCATTGTGTTCGCTTCTGAAGCACTCGGTAACTCCTCTACAGAAATCGTTGTGGTATATAGAATTATGGTCTTCGGAAAACCAACCATCAGTATCTCTTTGACACCCAGCTGGCCTTTGGTCTTTACTATGGAGATCTTTATCATTACATTTTTCCTCCTCTTCATCTTCTTCTTCATCATCATCATCATCATCACCATTATCATCATCATCATCATCATCATCATCATTTTCATTTTCTTCTTCTTGAGATTCATCTTCATCCTCCACTTCTTCAGAGTCTTCTACTTTCAAGCCATCAACAGGCATATGAAGATCTTGAAGATAGGGTGTCCTTGGCTTTGTTAGTTTTCTGTCTTCCTCGTCAGAACCTCCGAGGACATTTTCGTTGTCCGCTGGCGTTTCGTCAGAACCGCCATTGGTACAGGCCTCCTGGTCTGGTTTTGATAGATCACAATTCACCTCTGCGTCGCCTCCAAAGGAGGTCAGCATCTGCTTGCAGAACTGAAACTGGTCGTGTGCAAAGGACGCCAAACTAACAGTGAGTCTGTCTTCGCTACGGTGCAGACCTCTAGGCTCCACAACGTTCATTACTTGATTGAAGCTTTCATTGACCAGGGCCAGAACACTGTCCCCTTCCCCGTCAGAGCGAGTGTGCTTTTTACCGGGGATCACATTGGGCGTGACCTTTGAGGCCGCCGGTGCCACGTTTTCTTTACTCTCGTCTTTGATTTCGTCCTGAACTGTGGGCAGAGCAAACAAACCCAAATCATCAGAATCGGCAGTACTTTTCAGATATTTGTCCTCTCTATTATTATACACTACAGATTCAGCCGGTTCGTCTTTGGCGTACAAACTGGAGTCACTAGAACACGCAGACATACGTCCGGTTTCCAAAGTGTGTGATTCATAATAAATGTTATCATCTTGAGAGTCCCCTTCGTCTTCATAGTTGAAATCATCTCGAGCATCATTAGGGAAAAAATTTTCATTTTCTTCAGTCTCTTCCTCGTCACCGAGTTCCGACTCCGAGTCGTGCATGAAAAGATCATCTACACTCTCCCCTACGACAGACGTGTCTGCTGTTGTTCTTTCTTCGGTCCCATCATTTTCCAATTCATCGACGTTGTTCCAGTTACGATTGCCATTCTGTTGGTAATACCAGGAATCCGTATCTTCTTTATCATGATCGTATTGTTCTCCGGGGCAAAAGTGCGTGCTTTCAGCCTCAATGACAGGGACCGTTGTTTGTTGCTTATCTTTGAGGAACCTGTGTTTGTTTTTGCTTCTTTGGGAATCCCCACAGTACTCTGGACCTTCGTACCAGTCGCTTGAAGGTAACTCTTCCTCTTTCAGCTTCGTGGTTTGGTTATCGCCATCACCCTTGTTTTTTGGTGGTTCTCTGCTAGAATAAAACACTTGCTCGGAGCTCTCCTCGCCGTTGTTATATAGCCATGGTGGCGAGTATGGAGTCCCGGATGTAGTACTTTCTTTCTCGTCTGCCAGCTCCATTTGACAGGTCTCTGCCTTGCTGTTAGCTCTCTCTCCAGCACCAAAGTACACGTCTTGACACGTTTCCTCAGAAGTGGCGTAGGTTATGTGCTCGCCAGATGTCTCTGGGCACACACACCAGGGCTGTGTGGGGGTGATGGCGTGGCAGTCTCCTTCCTGCTGCTCCTTCTTGTCATCCAGCTCTCCAAAGAACTCTACAGAACATTCACAATCTCCATATATGGCTAAGTAATCCCGATCACCGTTTTTAGATCTAAATTTGCCAGCTCTCTCATCCTTCGCCTTTTCTATTTCTTCCTTCATCAATTGTTCCTTTGTATCCCTCCATGATTGAGCAGACTTTGGATCCACGTAGGATTCACAATAACATCTATCTCGTTGGTTGTTACATTTCATTTCGCTTTCGGTTTCCAGATCGCAAGGCAGATCTTCGTCATAAGATCTGTATTTTTCACATATACTTTTTAAGTCTTTCTTACTAAAGAAAAAACACCCCTCTGCTAATTCATCAATATCTTCATCGCCCGTATCTCCCTCCTCTGTTTCATCCTCCTCCTCCTCCTCCTCCTCTTCCCCCTCACAATCGTCCTCTTCCTCACATCCTTCATCGCAATCGTCATCATCTTCTTCATCTTCCACATGGCAGCACTCACATTCATCATTTTTATCCTCTTCTTCTTCATCATGTTCATCACCATCATCGTCGTCATCAACTTCACCACCATCCTCATCACCCTCATCACCCTCATCAACTTCATCACCATCAATACACTCGTCTTCCTCATCCTGGCCTCTTTTCTCTTCATCTTCACAACTATCTGTTGGACCAGTATGTCGGGGTTCGCACGGTGACACGTCTATCTCTGTTTTGTACGGCCCGCGTTTGCATTTATAACGAAACGTAGGCGGGCATGCTTGGTTAGATCTTTCCTCTGAAACGGATACTTGACACTGGTCACTTCCCGTAGATATATCATCTTCACAGTCTTCTCCCTCCACTACTTGAACTTCACATGCAGAATCTTCTACGTTCCTATCTTCTCCTTCTTCACAGTCTTCCTTTTCCCTCTTCAGCTTCTCTTCACATAGATCAAGGAAAGAGAACTTGTACCTATGTTTGCAGGAACCACATTTCGATTTATAATCATCGAGAGCTGCTTCCTCTTCCTGATCCTTTTGTAGAGGTCTTTGAAACTCGCCGTCTCCTTGTTGTGCTCTCTTTGCCTTTACATTTGCTGGCTTAATCAGTCTGGCTAAAAACCGCTTGATGGACTTTCCAGGGGACCTCGATTTCCGACTTGACTTCAGATAACTGTTCAGTTTGGGCCCATCACGAGTGCCCATCTCTTCTTTGGCATCCATGTCGAGATTTCGAACTGGATCCCTGAGTAGATATTACTGTTACCGAAGAGATGTCTTTACATTAGCTTGAAGTCGCCATTTGTACCACTGGCCCTTCCCTAGAGGGTGGACCTGGATTTTGTTATTGATCTTGACCAAGTTATTGACATTGGGCTTGGGTTATTCAATGTCGTCGCTGAATTGTATTCATGTTGATTTCCAACTGACTTCGGACATCGATGATGTTAAGAAAAGAATCAAGGTCTAAATCTTGTTCTAGATCTAGATTTTTAGAATCTAGATCCAGTAATGTAAATTTAGATCTAGATCTAGTCTGTAGATATAGCATCTAGATCTAGATCTAGATCTAGATCTAGATCTAGACTAATAGAAGCTAAGAGGAAAAGAGTGGCTACAGGCTACGACGCGGAGGCGCAACTTGAAGATTGAAGGTACGACCGATGGGGAAACTAGACTCTAGAATCTAGATCTAGATTCTAGATCTACATACAGACTGACTAAAGTAAACCAACCTTGGAGTAGCTCGGTGCGAGCACCCCTACCGTGGTGACCCACGTTACACCCGTGAGCTTGTTACCATCTGTCCAAATAACAAACTTTTCTTAAGTAGATCTAAGTAGCCTTGTCTCATGCATCAAACCACTGTCAACATGGGGACCTTCCACAAGGACGTAGCGATGCGGTTGGGCGTTCTGGGATAGTGCAGAGTGGTGCTGTATCTCCTCAGAGTGGGGAAAGATGTTGCCTTTCAAGAGGGTTTAAGGAGGGAGGGAGGAGGTTTCGGGAAAATCCGTTGCGACTGACAAGACGGTCAATGGATTGTAAAGAAGAGAAACTGTCTCGTAACTACCAACCGTTAGATAATATATTGTTGTTAATGCTCCCATAAATGTTGTTGCGGCTGTTGTTGCTGTTTATTGCTGTTGCCGGAAAAGCTGATAAGTGGCAGCTTTTGTAGCGGCAGTATGGGAGTGAGTGAGTGAATATGTGTGTGTGTGTGCGTGTGTGTGTGTGTGCGTGTATGTGTGTGTGTGTGTGCGTGTGTGTGCATGTGTGTGTGTTTGTGTGTGTGCGTGTGTCACAGTGTATGCGTATGTGTGTTCAAAGAAAATGCTTTGAGTGAGCTTAAAAGAAAATGTTTTAGCCTACCTGCTCAGCTCCACATTACCACCACCATCATTATCACCACCACGATCATCTTTAACAGCCGCAGCAGATGCAACAGTGGCATCATCATCATCATCATCATCATCATCATCATCATCATCATCATCATCATCAGGTACTCAAAGTGGCAAGCTGTCCCCTTCACGATGGGGAGTACCATTCTCAACGAATACAGCCACATTCAATGGGGAAGCTCTGCAGCCGACTCCAAGGTCACTGCAAAGAGGCACCTCTACTCGCCAATCAGGGAGAAGACATCAAGAAGATCTGCCCTTTGGCAACAAGCACGTCCCAGCGTGTTTTTGGAAAGCGGGAGCAGACTCCCAGTCGCTGACTTCCGCATTCCTGTTCCTCAGATCAAGACTGGAAAAACCACAATCTACTCTTGATACAGAAAGATCAGATTGAATCGTGCACGTGACATTGAATTAAACCCGGGACCAGAGGAGCTGGTGCGGTGTGGCGAGTGTGGGGTTGCATTTAGCGAAGCCAATCTACCAAAAGCTAAGATATGTAATCAGGAGGGGTGTGAAGAAAGGACACACAAAGGGCCAAAATGTAGTGGTATCAGCAGGTGGAGCTCCAGGCAAGAATGGACATGTCGTGTCCACAGAGATGAGCCTCCAGTGGGTGGCGACCAACCAGCAGGAATCCCATCAAGCTCTGCTAAAGTACATTGCTTGAGTTGCAATGAGACTATCCGTAAAACTTATGGAGGTTCTCAGCGCTTGAGGTGTATTGAGTGTGGGAAATGTTTCCACAAGAAACCAGAATGTTGCCAGATGACGAACGAAGAGATGAAAAGACGTCTGAACAACTAGACATGTTGGAAATGCAATGATGCCCTAACCCCACAGCTAGAGGCTCCTATGCCAAATCTTGACACTTCAATAGATGATATATCCAAACAAATGAAGTCATCTGAAAAGAAATGCTAGCGCATTCTTCAACAACAACTACTACTACTACTACTACTACTACTACTACTACTACTACTACTACTACTACTCTTTGGCTCCTTCTAATAGCTGTCTTTTAGCCACTCGAGCCTTCTCGGATTTAAGGGCTGAAAAAATCTCGGAGGTCCCGTGTGCAAGATGGGCACGTTAAAGATCGCTTGATGGTTCTAAAACCGATTTATAAGAGTAGGCGTCGGCCACCACTCGGGCAATATTCTAAATTAATACCAAACTGAAAATGTTTAACCGCGCGCTCGTATGACTTTATGCGCAGTTGCGCCGTAAAACACTAATCAAAGCAAAACAATATCAATCTTTAGATAGGTCAAGGATGACGGCCAAAAATCAGGATAATGTAATCCGAGCAATATAATGAATGTAGAACATTGATCACCTATGTCTGTCACAGATCTTGCACTTGACGAATTGTAACTTAATTGTAAGAGAGAATAAATAATTCATGTGACTTCTTCATCTGTTGTGCATGCAATTATTAACTCCTGTCTCGGGTTCTCTGGTCAGACCATGAATATTTTACTACGTTTCTGATCTCGATGTTTATTACAACACGAAACATTTTTATTTGTAGTCATGGTATATTATAATTTACTTTTTCTCTTTAAGGCTTAATTTTCATTAGTTTTTTCGTGAATCCTTAATAACGTACCAAATTTAATTGTCGTAGAATCCCCCCCCCCCCCCCCCCACAAGCATGCTTTTTTTTGTTTTAAAAACTCATCTTTGGGATGAATTTTTTAAAAGCCTATTCTCATCTAAGAAACATGAGCTTTCTTTTATCTAGCTCGATCTTCAAGCGTTTGCCCCCAGCATAGACGAGATGAAAATGAAAAGCCCAATATTGTTCAATGTAAAAAAGATGGATAAGGAGCCTATGCAATAGTCTTTATTGTCCAGATCCTGCAACATATGCTTGATGCTTTACCGCGCGCACGCACACACACACACACATACACACACACACACACACACACACACACACACACACACATACACACACACACACTCACACACACACACACACACACACACACACACAAACACATTATACACACACACAGTCGAGCGCGCTCACGTAGTGATCTTGTGTGCACACCCACACACACCAATCTCTCACATTTATTATCGAGGGGCGTCACCTCGAATCTATCTTGATTGCAATACGAGTCAGGAAATGTTGGCATCTAAAGGGATTGAGACAATAACTTGAATAAGTCACCCAAACTATCGACAGCAGAAACAGTCTAAATATTAACGCCATTGCCATGCACATTTCAATAGATGATACCGGGTAACAGTTGAAAGAACTGAGATTCACTGATGATATGTGACTATGACGTGACATCATCGTGCGCTGAAAGTGACACCCCCCAAAAAAAAATTGTTTTTAAATAAATAAATAAATTTAAAAATATTTAAAATTAGAAATAAATTTTAAAAATAAATAAATAAATAAATAAATAAATAAAAAATAAATAAAAATAACATAAAATAAAAATAAAAATTATAAATTTAAAAAAAATGGTAAAAAATTGTAACAAAAATAATGGAAAGTAACCTCAACATCATAGATAACAGTACAGCTGATCACATCGGTAAAGTGAAACAAAACAGATTGACAAAAGGAAGCTCTGAATGGAGACCAGTTGTTTTAGTAGAGTTTTCACGGCGCTCGCCTGATACAAAACATTTGAGTCTGTTTTTTCTCCTGATCTTTTTCTTGATCTTGGTCTCAGAGCACACAGGAACAACCTGGGCACACACAAAAAACAACTGATAAAGCTCAATGATTGAAATGAAACAACAATTAATTAACATCGTCAACAACAAAAACAATAGTAGCAGCAGCAACAACTACAACAAAAGACCCCCCTATATGCCACACGCGGACGAAGGAAGTATACAGGGCATTTTCCTTAAAAAGAGAGGCTCTTATTATGTCCCGCAGTGACCAGTCATTACTGGCAAAAATCAGGACCGGTCACTTCTCTGGGCTGCGGGCCTACAAAAATAGAATAGACAGAACATCGGACCCAACATTTCCATTGTGCAGCGAGCGAGGAACCCCAAGATTTGGAGCACTGGCTGCAGGGGTGCCCCGCCACGGAGGCCCGGCATCTCTTCGGGGGGGATTCAGGGAGGTTGGACTGCCTCACCCGCTAGCCTACTCAAGGGCCAAGGGAGGCGGTGGCCCTGGCGAAGAGCACGCTCTTCGGGGCTCCAAACATTTCGAACGGATAGGCTACCACACACACACACAACAACAACAACAAAAACAACAAAAAACAACAACTAATTTATAAAAACCCAATAACAACAGATTGAAGTACATATTAGTTTAGTTTTAGTAGATGTTTTACGGTTCTCGCAACTGCATAAGGTCATATTATGAGCACCAGAAGATCAGAGGTGATACTGATACATGAGAGTAACAAGCATGAAAAAAGGGGTGAGATAAGGACGATAGATGTTTGATAGGAAAGAAGAAGCAAACCACACCAGAGGACCCGCCAACCACTCACAGATTGAAGTATGAAGACGAATATGATGACGATGATGATAACAATAATGATGATGATGATGGAAGAGGATGAGGAGGAGAAGGAGGAGGAAGAGGAGCAAGAACGAGCAGATCTATCATTATTGGACCATTGTTTATTTGGATATTATTGGATAGGACAATATCCCACTTCCGCTTCCGGTAATGGCGTCACAATTCACGACGATCTCACCGTTGAGCAGCACGGAGAAGCATTCAATTCTGTACTTCTTTTTTAAATAGATTTTTGCCTTCTATTCCTTTCTTAGATTCAAACCCCAGTTTCCAGTTAGGTAAGCACCTTATTGATCCAGTTATTTCGCTTTGAAAGATTGGGTTAATCCAGATCTAGAAATCTAGGTCAATTTTATCCCAGTTCCCCAATCCCAGAGCCAGGCCCAGGAGTCAGAGTAGACCTGTCCTAACCAACCAAGACTGCCAGCTCAGACTCAGCAAAGGCAGAGGGGGGAAGAACAGAGACAACACGGCGTACAAACACTGCTCTTTTGCTCGGCGATGGAGTGACTGGGTCACGGTCGACCTGGTCATACAGAGGCGAGGTCGCAAGGCCACCTCTATTCTCACCCGGGGTGAGAATAGTGCAGGCGGGTCTTGTGGCTATTCTCACCCGGTGCGCGTGTCAACAAATTTTGCGTTCACCCTAAACCACAGAATTCTACACTGTGATAAGAGAAAAATTGTAGAATTCTGTGCTGTGAACAAACGTTCCATTACAACTGTACTTGTAACCTACTAAAAGCGTACAATTTTGTCTGTGGGCAGGGGAGAGAGAGAGAGAGAACAAAACAAAATGGCGACCCGCGTAGTTCGGCTCGATTCGAAAAGTTAAATAGCCGTAGCATCTTTGTAGACAACCAAATTAATTTACTTTTGTGTTTTAACATCATTTTTTAACTTTGTTTTGGTCAATTTGATCGTCCACACCGATAGACAGTATTCAGAAAGAGACAGAGAGAGAGAGAAGAGGGGAGGAGTAG